CCATTTTCAGGCCCCCTTTCTGTCCGGGCCCTGTCCGGGCCCCAGGCAGACACCTGGTTTGCCCATGCCTGTGTCCAGCCCGGGATAAAAGGTATAAATCACCCAGACAGTTAATTTTTAGCAGCCATTTTAATTATGCCATATCTAAGGGCAGTTTCAAGTAGAATCACTTGTGTGGGTGATGTCTGGGTATGAATCTATTCCCAAAGTCCACATAACACTTTGTTGACTTCAGTGGGAACTCAAGCAGCCCTACTTTTCTATGATCTTATAATTTGATTTGAGAGCATTTTTTTTTGTTTTTAGATAATCAAGTCCCTTGGTATTTTCAGTCACTATGCATTGTAATACTGCCATTACTGCTAGGGCTCATTGCAGCTCAGGTCTGTTTGTTCCTAAAAAGAAATAAAAAAAACCCATCAGTTGGGGCCCCACAATGATCAGTGCCTAAGGCAAAGCTGCTTACTTTAGCCTTTTTTTCATACCAGTGCAGCATCTGAACCTGTTCTGTTTGTAGTACTCCACCAAAAGTTCTTTTCCACATTAGTAAATCATGCTGCTGATATAGCCTAAGGAAGACTTAGGCTGTTTTGAAAATTACTTCTGATGAATTTGGCTTGCTTCCCTTGTCTTTTGTATTTTTAGAGAGTTGTTAATACTGGCAAAAACTCCCATTTTCTAGATGTGCATATGTGTATCTGGTTTGTGAGGAGAGGGAAAGAAGGCCAGGTATGGAGTGCATACTTGTTCAATTAACAGATGGCTGTCTGCTTGTGGCAAGCAGCCAAGGACTTAAGGTATTTTGTATTTCTAGAGTATTAACCTTAGTCTGTATTCTCTCTGAGACCTGGAGAAAAAAAATACAGGTCTGAAACTAGATGTTTGTGGGAGCTTAATTACTAATGTGGGTTTTTTCCTCCCCGTTCTCTTTAACTTCCTTTCACAGAGGAGGGGATCACCGTGTGGAACTCTACAAGGTAAGTAATTGTGACTTATTCCAAACAGTGTCATTAATGATGAAAAAACAAAAGCATTTTATAGAACGTTGCTGTTAGTCTAGCACCTATGACTTGATACCAGCAGAAGGCTAATTCCTGGCCTCCTACACTACCTGGAAGTAAAGGGAGCATGGATAGCTGTTAGCAATAAGCATGTCTTTTGGCCTCTCTTCTGTCTTTTTACAAATAGAGACTTGGCAGGGAGTTGTGGGGGAGTCCTGTCACTCTGATCTATTGGAAGTCTGGTCTGTTGGCTGATTCAGGCCTCTGCTTTGCATCTCACAGGATTGCTGCATTCACTGAAGTAGTTGAGACGATAAGGATGGTATTCCTTGGAACTGTCTATAATACCCAAGCACAAGCAGTTGTATTATATACCAGACATAGGCTCTGACACTAAAACTTCTAGGTACAGTTGTTGGAGAATTTATAAAATCAGATTTTCTATGCAAAACACCATACCAAATCTGTCAAATTTTGTGAAAGCCAGTGATATCTGCCTCGCTCTGCAGATTAGAATAGGTGCACTCTTTATGTGCTTGAAGGGAGTTTGCCAAAGGGTTTGAATTTACTGGTTCAGATTTTTTGTGCATACAAAATTCACAAACTCTAGCAGTCTCTTGGATTTTACCCACAACAGATGCTTTAAAATATTGTAAATTGGTACAAAGTGAGTATTGCTTTTGCTAAGGCTTCTTTTTGGTTTTGGTTTGTTTGTTTGTTTGTTTGTTCATTTGTTAGTACGTTGTAACTCATTTTCAACAGAATGAATGGGCTCTTTGTTAAGATGTAAATGCCGATCTTCAGGATAAAAGACATTAAGCAATATATACTTTAGCTGTAGATTTTTAAACATTTTCAAAAACTAAAACCAGCCTCATCTTGTCATACGTGTTTGTATCATTTTAAGCATTCACAGAGGAGTGAAGATGTTCCATGTGTCAGCTTGGCCCTAACAATGTGAATCTGACTACTAGGAATAAGGTCATCTTTTGTACTTTTTTTCTCTGACAAATCAGAAGGGATGCATTTGGGGAGGAAAAACAGGAGAAAATTTGCAATTATCAGTGGTAAAATGCTGCAGAGAAAAGCTATAGCTTAGATGATACTGCTCTCACTTAGGATTTTCCTCTCATTTTCATATAATGCTGATATAAGCAAGATCAGGTGCTCTTTATTGTTTTTTTCCAAGGCTTGGAGCTGGTGTTCATACAGATTGGTGCTTCATAAGTAGGGATCCTTGTTTTCTGTTTTAAAAATCACAAATTCTCTGATTTAAAAAAAATAGCAAATTATCTGATTAAAACCTCAAAATCCATGATTAAAATGAAACACCACTCGTGTGTGTGTGTGTGT